TGTTTTGTTTGTGATGCCTGTTACCCCCCCCCCAACGAGGCGTATGCCGCTGACCAGTTTTCTCCAACCAACTCTGTCCTGGACTTCACTATCCGTTTCTGTCCAAGTTTTTTTCATTCTTCTCATGTCCTTCTCTGTTTCTAGGCATAGAGTGTTTCTTGACCTTCCTCAATTCCTTTGATTTTGAGGGTTCTAAGTGAGCGTGTAGTGAACACTTCTATGAATAAAACGCAACTGGTGTAAAAGAAACATTTATTTTTGTAATTCTTCCGCTTAACTGTAGTAAAAAAATACTTACTTACGCGCAACTTTCCGTTTTGCTTTGCTGCCTCCACTCATAAATCGCTGCTCGTTATGTTGCCCACATTCTCCTTTGAATAGATTCTTTACGCTGGATATAATTTTTATTACTTGCGACGGACTGGTAATTAGTATTAAGTAGTGATCACTGTTTAATCTATCATAACAATTCCGTATGATGTTGTCTATCTTCTCAGTTACACCATAGTGTCGAAGAAGCCTCCACAGTGGTTTCCTATCCACGCTAACGAGTGCTTTCTCGTAGTCGATGAAGTTCATATTGAGTGGTGAGTTCCATTAAATTGATTGTTCCACAATGATCCGTAATGTTGCAATTTGGTCGGTACACGATCGATCCTTAGGAAATCGAGCTTGGTTATCTCGAAGTTAGGCGTCTACAAAGTACTTCATTCTGTTTAAAAATACCCTGTTGAATACTTTTCCTGGTACTGAGAGAAGAGTGATGCCTCTGTGGTTCTCACACTTGTTGGGATCGCCTTTCTTTGGCATTTTGATGAGGTATCCTTCTTTCTAGTTTGTTGGTACTCGTTCTTCATCCCAAATCTTCTTGAAGAGAATATGAAATATTTTTGTAGTTGCTTCCACGTCTGCTTTCATCGGCTCTGCTGAAGAAGAGTCTAATCCCGCTGCTTTGTCACTCTTAATTTGTCTGATAGCCATTCTGACCTCTTCAATTGTTGATGGGCGAACATTAATTTGGAGGTTCGTAGATGCTCGTTCGATGTTGGATAAGTTTAATGGAGCTGGTCGATTCAAGAGTTCCTTAAATTGCTCTACCCACCTGTTTCTTTGTTCTTCAGTGTTACTGATCACTTCGCCTTCCTTGTTTTGCACTGGTCGTTCTGGTTAACGATAGTTTCCAGCGAGCATCTGTGTTATATTGTACAATCGTCTCAAGTTTCATTCTCTTGCAGCCTTTTCCATCGTCATTGTTAGATTTTCCACATATTTACGTTTGTCGACTGGTGCTTTTCTTCACTTACTTGTTTGCTTTTGTGTATTCTGCTTGTGACTTGGCTTTCTTCGCTCTTCTACGGCTGATGTTGATTGCAGCCTTCTTGTTTCTCGTTCCTTCAATTGTTTTGGAGATAACCAACAGAGATCCATTCCTTGTGATGGTACCTTCTGTGACCCAGAACCTCGTGATATGTTAAAGTGATTGCCTCCTTGATCCCTTTCCAATTGTTCTACACGGTAGTTTCCTTTCCATTGAGTGTATCATGCAAAGCCTGGAACCAATTGTTGAGGGCTACATGCATGTACAGAAAAATAAAAGTGCACACAATGTTTCTTGACTTAGCAAAATGCCTCGACACTCTCCCGCACGCATTACTATTTATGCATGTTGCAGAAACGGGCCTCACTTACCCACAGTATCTTAGCCTAGAAACGAACTAATGAACGGATTGTTTGAAACCAAGCTAAATAGAGTGCAGGCGAGTCTCTACATCTGGAGTTTCGCAAGGACTATTTTACTTCCACTTCTCTTCCTTACGGATATTAATGACCTGTTAGACATAGTTAGCTAACTAGCATTGATCTACGCAGACGTTTTGAAGATCTGTAGGTCCTTTAGCAGCGAAGTGGATTCGCAAACGATTTACACCCTGAATGGAAGTCCGCTCCCTAATGTCTCCTTAGAGCCCCACGTACGACCGAACGATAGAGTGGACGCAGCCAAGTCGAGTGCGGCTCTTCACTTATTGCAAGCTGGAGCTATCAACCAGCAATTATTCTTAACGCTACTTAAGACAAACGCGCGCCTATACCTGGAGGTTCACAATGTCATCGCATCCCCTCTGCTTAAAAGAGACATAAATATCCTGCATGAAGTGCAGAGACGAGCAACGAAACGTGTGATAGGGTTGAAGAATAAACCTTACGAATATAGACCCCAGCACTTGGGATTATTTCCACTGAGTTACAGGAGAATCAGAGGTTCGGCTACCACCCAAGGACAGGGACGACAGATTAAACTCACTGATTATATTTAATATCCCAGTATCGGAAGGAAGCTTGCTAGAAAATAGGGCTGCCTTCGACAAAGAGCAGTGGGGTAAATACTGCTCAACCCTTAGAATGTGTAACATGCCAGCTAAAATATGCAACCTTTTCAAAGGCCAAAATGTCTCGAGAGGAAAACTCCCTCCAATGAGGGCAGCTCATAACTCGGCATGACTTACTGAAGACATCATCCTTTCATCTCAAATACCATCAGTCAAATTGTCCTCGCCGATTCGCATCAGGCATGAGAAGCCATGGCCGGTACGAGCGGCAGCCAGGACTACGCCAGGCCCCCATGTTAGTTCACGGCGTGCCCGAACTCGCTGACGGTAACCTGGACGAAGCTCACGCCCACGATGTGCAACAGAGGCGATGGCTATTGCTTAGCCTAGCCCTTCACGCCACGATGGCTGTTTGCATTTCTAGCTTGCCCCGCCCGTCACACCATACGTCCATCAAGTCACCACGTCTGATGGCTGTGACATTTAGGAACCGGGAAGACCTGACTGAAGCACTCATAGCTTGGTACAGATCGAAGAATGACCTGCCTAGCCACAACAGGTGTTGCGAAAGCCGGCCTAGATCTGTGGGACAGCAGCAGGGAGGCCACAATGAACGCACAAAACTGATATTTAAACTCAGTCAATAACGCCTAGCAAAAGACATGGTTGAACTCACTGCACAGGCGAAAAACCTGCAGAGGCAAGTTCCCACAGAAATGGCCAACTCTGTTTGAATACCTTTTTTGAAAATCCAACAACGGCTGCTGCTTCAGAAGTGCACCAGTTGCTGATACAAACCACCAAGGGCCTCTATAGCAACGTAAGAGGACTAAGGGGTAAGCTGTTAGAAATCAGGAATATGTGCTTTCAAATGGATCTGAAGACTATAATCCTAATTGAAATATAGCTATCCACTGACATTGCAGACGATGAAGTCAGCTTGCCATGACACTCTTCCGAAGCGATGGGGTACACCAAACTGCCACTTAAAAACATAGCGGCTATACGACACCCAACTAACTAAGGTGACAGAATGATGTTGGTGTTGTTTCCACACAAAAAGCACGAAATACTTGATTGGAGGGATTTACCGACCCCCCTCGGGTACTAAAGCCCAGAAAGGCAAACTGATTGAGGTAATACTGCAACTGCTACTCCTGGGGTTTGATCAAATACTCTTAGCTGGAGATTTCAATAACCAATCTCTAAATCTCAGCAACCAGAATATAACTCCAACTGGTTGGTTCCAAAGATGACTTGGAGCAGCCATTAGAAGCTCTGAGCTTACTGAGCACGTATGTAGTGCCACCAGATGGACTAAAGAGAGAAAGTCCTCAAACCTGGATTATCTGTTAACAAGTGACCAGCTCCTGGTTGAGGATATTCACGTGCATACACCAATAGGTAGTAGTGACTATGGCATTGTCTTGTTTAACATGGTCACAGACGAAACACTCACATAGGACGAAAACGACCCTATCTTTGCTACAATAAGGCAAACTATACGCTTATGTACCCCACGCACGCCTAATCACAAAGGTTGTGGAAATGGGATTCACTTACTCACGCGTATCTTGGCACTGAATCTGCCTTGAGAAGAGAAAGTTTTGCACAAAGGTAAATAGAGTGCACGCAAGCTGGCGAGTATGAACATCGGGAGTTTCACAGGGGACCATCATAGGCCCACTTCTATTCCTGATATTTATTTACGGCCTTTTAGGCTCAATACGCTTACCGGCATTGATCTACGCAGATGATACTAAGATCTGGGGATCCGTTAGAAGCGAAGAGGAATAGGCTGAGCTTCAAAAAGGCCCTTCCATCTATTGAGGATTGGGCAGTGAAAAACGGTTCAAAACCAAACCAAACGAAGTGGCACGTCATGCATATTTTGCCTCACACGACGCGAACGATCTACAGCCTTAATGGAAGTCCGCTCCCTAATGTCTCCTCAGAGCACGATCTCGGTTTGATAACCACAGAAAGCCTCCACACGAGTGTAATTGGATTTTCTATCGTGACAGTTCAATTCGATTCCAATAGACGTACGCCGGACGCACTTCCCCAAATTCGAATATAAAACACAATAATTCTAGGGGAAAATGGTCTATTAATAAATGATAAATGGAAATACAAATAATACCTAACGAAATTTACGTCTTCCAATTCAAAATTACTCTGAACGAGTATCAATGTTCCGAGGTCTAGGTGAACTCCTATACTGCACGATGTCGAATCCAAAAATGTGGCGGTAGCCATATTATATCAAATTTAAACAACATATGTACAGTTCAGAAGCAAACATAAAAACTTCAATATAAGTACAAAAGATAGAAAGAATAACAATATACAATGATAAAATCTCAAATTGGAATCAAATAAAATACCAAAAATGTCAACAGAAAAGGTCCGTCATGTTATAACAAAAATATGTAAACATGGAGGGATTTTCCAAAACACAAAGCATTCAAAAAGGATTCTACAACGAGTCCAAACTATATAGAGGACCGAGCAAAGTGAGACTCTTCACCTTATGCGAAGACAACTTGGTGCTATCTCCTCAATAATCTCCACACTGCGACTAACTGACCTTCGGTCTGGCAAAGTGATATCTGTTGATATCTAGAAACCCTACCGCTCTTATTTAAACGTTTTCGTTAGAATCCAGAGACATACAAACTCAAAAACCACTGCCAACTGAATAGAATTTGAGAATCGAGTGGCTAGATTCCTATTAATTGCACTCTATTGAACATCATACAGAAAGAATAAGAATCGAGCGCGAGGAAATCAATTGGCTTATACTAGCTCGAGAAAAAAATTGGATATTGGATATCGTATGCTGAGTCTCAAAGCGGTAAACTGAAGGCTTCGTTACTAATGTCTAGCATCTCAACTTCCTCCCAAAATAATCCCTGTACTTCTGATATGGAGAGTGTTTACAAATGGGTTGCTTCACTAACAAATGTGGAAACTCGAGAAAGTGCGCTGCTCGAATTGTGGTATGCTTTTTTTAATTTGTACTCAGTTTCTTCCATAAAGTAAAAAAAGAGAGTCAGTCCCTGAACTTGCTCCACTTCTTTGGCATTCCTGTGGTTCCATAGCTGCGTTGCTGCAGGAAATATGTGCTATTTATCCTTACATCAATCCGCCAAATTTGAGTGTGAGTTTTAGAGCAGTATTTTTTCAAATAGTAGGTGTTTAATTGTACGCGATCGAGCACTTCAATACAAACCTTGATAGGAAGCCCTTCATTTTTGTCTCCCTATGTTTGTCTTGACCTATGAATTAGTTTCGGCTTTTTTTCATCAGCTAACTTTCGGCAATTAAAGAGGATAAATTAGGCTGTCATGGTTTGAGTAATGACAGTTGGAACAGAAATGAGGTTATGATTATTCCTCATCTTCGTAATTTCGATTAAAAGACTCATTCATAACTGCATATTAAGCTTCTCTACATAGTCATCTTAAACTAGCAATGCACGATTACTGTAAATGGCTTTTATATTAAAACGTCCATTCTGTTTGCTGGAGTTGAATAATCTGTGTATCGTTGACAGAAGTCAAACCATATGTATGTCTTCCTGCTGCATTTGGATTTTTGAGGCAGTTTATCGAGTTAAAGGGAAATTTCACTGAAATCAGCGTAGCAAAATAATTTTTCAGACCAAGATCATAAAATTCTGTTTGATTTGTGTTTCACAAAACCTCGCTCCCTTACTACTCTTGACACTCATGTCCCGTCTGCGTCCTATTATGGAATCCTTCACGAAAATACTGATGTATAGCCGTCGTTTATAGTAAATATCTAACCACGTTCGTGCGTTATCATACAGAAGTTTCGTACGTGGTGAGACCCCAAATGGTCTTGCATGTTTTCCGTATTGTTAGCTGTGTTGGTAACTAAAATTTACTGCGGTGTCAAGAAATATAACAGTTAGTCTTATACTATTTTTATATGTGGACGTCAATTATAAGCTTAAATTTTATTGTGGTCATCATTATCCATAAACGTGATCATATCATATTGCAGTGCTAGTTCAAGAAGGAATTGGCTTAACACTCAAATTCTCAGGTGGTTGATTTCGTCCTGAAACAGTCTCTCTAGTCAGTTATACTTTCAGACACAAACAATATTCTCGGTGTTAGTAGTATAAATACAAACTACTCATACCTACTTTCATGATTTTTTTTTCCGTTTAATGGCACTAAACTTATTTGATTCCTATTGTTTTATAGCTACGTTTTTTGTTGTTTTCTTCTGTTGTTTTTCTTTCACCAAACTTTTAGTGTTGAGACCCACTATATTATTGTATTATACTCTAAAGTACCGTCAATGTACATAACATCATTCCTTGTTTTGTCAACCTCACTTGAGCAAATTATATTATTTTTTCATATTTAGAAGTACAGTTTGTTTCTTCTGCATACTTTTATTTTTTTAGGCACATCAATCTAATCGCGTATGCAACGCATTAGCTCTTCTGCAATGTTTGGCTTCCCATCCGGAAACCAGAAATGAATTTTTGAAAGCTAACATACCTCTTTATTTGTATACTTTTTTAAATACAAATAATAGAACACGCCCATTTGAATATCTGAGATTAACCAGCCTAGGGGTGATTGGCGCACTTGTTAAGGTAAGTATATATATATATATATATATATATATATATATATATATATATGACTACCTTCAGGATAAGTAAATTTTTTTTCTTTTTAACTGGTTTCACATCTGACTGTACATCATACTTAGGCCTATGACCCTTTATAAAGCACAGGCAGCCGACCAGCATTCTCCAACCAACTATTCTGGGAACTTCATATCATCTATCGGCACCTGAACTGGTGATAGGCACAGAAGTAATTGAGGGTGTTGACCACTTTAATTATCTTGGGAGTCTCACCGGTGCTGATGGCCTGGTGTGCGACGAAATCTCAGCACGTAGACAGAAGGCTGGACTAGCTTCTACCAACTTGCATCACTTATGGCATAGGCGAGATATCCTTCTGCTAACCAAAGGACTAGTCTACTTCGCAGCAGTTCACTCAATGGATAATTTAGTGAGTCTTTTAGTTGAAGTGTTTGGACATGTGTTACGAACGCCCAACCACCAACTGCCTGGGTGAGCGATGTCTGATGTATGGGTAGGCTGGAATAAATCTGAGGGGGGGGGCAAACCAATATATATTACAAATTCATGGCTGAATATCTTTTGTAATGGCTCAGGTGCATCGATACTTTTTCTTCTTTCAAATTCTAATCTTCTGAATTCCTCTCGACCGTTTTGTTCTCTTTTCCAATTCTACCCACTGAATTATACTTGTCGAATAATATCTTTGATTCCTGATTGTTTCCATTACGACTAATACTTCTGCCACTATTACTACTATGGTGTTTGAATCGACGTAATCAAAGAAGTTAGGAGTCAAAGATGTGATTTGAACGTAGCTGCTACCTTGACGTGGTGGTCAGGCTTGCCTATCGTGATGACCCAACCGAACTATATTGGCTGGAACATGTAATCCTGTAGGTTCTACCATACAAGGCAGGTCGATTGGAGAACGATGAGACTAAAAGCAGCTACTCAATGTCTGAGGGTGATGTCGTACTGCTGACTGCAGAGGGGTGTGACAGCAGTAAGATGTTTCCCTCGGACAACCAGCATCTGCAGCGATGCTGCCTTCCCATAAGGAAGGAAGGGGTTAGAAAAGGTCAACCCCAAAAATGTTACACCTCACCTTACCTCACGACTCAGAAGGATGGGCACACTCGCTGTTTCCTCTTCGTCGTATCTGTATGCGCTCCCGTTGACTGCATTTCAGACGAGGTGAAAGATGAGTCGTGCAGAATGTAACAGTCAAAGTCATAATAATTTAATGGCTTCGAAGGTTTTTTTATAAAAATATTAAAGTAACTGATTTATTTATAAAACAAAACAGTCAATGAACGTGGTGTATCTCCACATTTTATTTATAGTGATGAACTGTTTGATTTCATCACTTTGAATTTCCCAATATTTATTATCAATATTACTAAACAGCGAAAATTATGGCATTTAATTATTTATTATTCTCTATGAAACGATTTAACTTCTATTTCACCCACCACGATATATTTATTCATTCTAGCGAAAATTCATTAATCGACATTTCAGTTTGTTTAATTAGAATCATTTTCTGAAGTAAAGATTTCCTCACTTTAGTTTTACAACGTTAGGGATATGAAAACCCATAATGTCCTGTTGTTGATTACTATTGATAAGTGTTGTACAAGGCTATGTAAAATATATTCACTAAACACCATAAGTTTCTAAAATCTTTCCTAACCACTCTGTGTATTGTAAACTGTAGTGGTTTAAGCCCTAAGAATCTGTCGGACAGAGCGACTACAAAAATACTTACCTTGGCCTCATACTACAAAAATATGTTTAAAACCAATTACCTAATATTCTAAATTTTACAGCTCTTGTTGGTCATAAATATCAAAACCAACAATTTATTTAATTTCAGACTGATGAGCCAGAAGTTATAGCCTTCTTACTTGGTTCAGAAATTATACCTCTTTGTTTAGTAATTATGGAATCAGGAAGTGAACTGAGCAAGACTGTGAGTTTTATACCTTTCAGTTATTTTTAGTATTAGTTTGCTTATGAGTTATGGAACTTTGGTATAGAATTGTAATTTATCGAGTCAAGAATTGAGATTGGTTTAATCTTTTTCTATCTGTGAGGCTGAATATTATCTTGAGTCCGAAAGAAACTGATGTACTTTGAAGTTAAATCTAACCTTTCTGAACAGCTTAAAGATTTATTTGATAAAGTAGTGGAATCGTCTGTTGGTTGAAGCTTTACATCTAGGATGTATATTTCTTATGATTTTATAATAAAGAATAATTACTTAGGAATCACTTTTTGATATACATTTTCTTATCCATTCAAATGTTTTTCGCATAAACAATCATAGACTACCTATTTTATTTCATTAGAGAAAACATGATGTTACAGTCGAAACTATGTATCAAGTCCTTACATTGAAAAGTAGAATAGTCAGATTTTGCCTATGTTGATTACTAAGGTTGACCGTGACATCGTTTGATGGGCAAAAACATGAAACTGTCGTTCTGCTTTTGGAAATCGGAAATTTTGATGTTTTTACCTTTAAGTTGTTTTTTTTTACCCAACCAAAAAGTAGTTAATTATGGATTGTGAAGTTGGTTTTTCTGTGTTTTACGTAAAATCTTCATGTGTGCTTCTCGGTTGTTATTTGAGTCATGTTTTTTAGTCTAAGCTGGTTAACTAACATTTCTGTAGTCTACTTATCGCTTATTATCACATTTTAATATAGGTAGCTACTTTCATTATGCAGAAGCTGTTGTTGGATGAAGTAGGCCTAGCGTATATTTGTCAGACTTATGAACGATTTGCACACGTAGCTACTGTTTTGGACAAAATGGTGATCCATCTAGCCAGGGAGCAGTCGTTACGTCTATTAAAACATGTAATCCGATGTTACTTACGTCTTTCTGATGATTCACGGTAAGCTTTTACGGTATGATATCAAAGCTGGTATTTATATCGTGAATTTTCATGAGTTTGTTTAGGTAATCAGGGTTTCAAGATTAAGGAATACTTAATCATATATTAATTCACTGTGTTTTCAACTAGCTTTTACTTGCTTGCTTTACTTACGCCTGTTACCCCCGAAGGAGTATAGGCCGACAAACAGTTTTCTCCAACCAACTCTGTCCTGGGTTTCCCTTTCCAGTTCTGTCCAAGTTTTGTTCATTCTTCTCATGTCTTTCTCTGTTTCTCGGCATAAAGTGTTACTTGGCCTTCCCTTTTTCTTTTGAGTTTGAGGGTTCCAAGTGAGGACTTGTCTTGTGACGTAGTTGGGTGATTTCTGCGCTATGTATCCTATCCACTTCAACTCTTCTTCCCGATTTTCTCCTCCACTGGAACCTGGTTTGCTCTCTCCCAAAGAAAGTTGTTGCTGATAGTGTCTGGCGAACGGATCCGAAGTATTTTGCGTAGACAACTGTTAATGAATATTTGAATCTTCGGAATGATGGCTTTCGTAATTCTCCAAGTTTCCTCTTCATCCAGTACAACTGTTTTCATATTTTCACTGAAAATTCAGATTTTGGTGTTGGTTGATAGTTGTTTTGAGCTCGAGATGTTGTTAAATTGTAGAAATGCAGCGCTCGCTTTGCCAATCCGCGCCCTCACATCTGCATCGGATCCACCTTGCTCGTCAATGATGCTGCACAAATATGTAAAGGTGTTAACGTCATCCAAGGCATTTCCATGAAGAGTGATTTGGTTGGCACATGTTGTGTTGAATGATTCAGTCCACTTGTCAGTGACTTCATGCATTTGTGCCATGTTTTTGTCTGGCCGCACCTAGCTTTCGTCCAACTTATTCCTAAATCGCAAAACATAGTTTGACGAGGCAGTCGGTGGTTAGGCATACGTAACACATGTCCCAACCACTTCAACTGATGAAGTTTCATTACCTCATCTGCTGACCTCCCATCATTACCTAGCACCCCTTTCCTAACAACAGCATTGCCTACTCGGTTGTCCCACGATACTCGAGCAATGTTTCGAAGACATCTATGATCGAAAACCAATAACCTACGAATATCTCCTACTCTGACTGGGCATGTTTCACAGCCATAAAGTATGACGGTGCGAACTACCGCGCAGTACACTCGTCCTTCGGTCAGCAAACGGATATCTCGCCTACGACATAAGTGACGCAGGTTGGCAAAAGCCGATCGAGCGTTCTGTATCCGTGCAGAGATTTCGTCAGTCACCAGGTCATCGTGACTGATGAGACTGCTGAGATAAGTGGAGCGGTCTACACGGCCGACTACTTCATTCCCTATCTCTAGTTCAGGTGCAGATGCGACGCAATCTTGAAGCAACATTTTGCATTTCGAAGGGGAAACCGTATCCCGAACATGCTTGCATTATTGCTTAGGGTAGTCAGAAGACTCTGCAATAGTCAGCTTCTTCACCGAATAGAACTATGTAATCAGCATACTTTAAGTCAACAAGCGTGTCTCTTGGAAGAAGGTCCACTCACGAAAAGTCAGAGGATGACAATGTTAACTCTAGAAGCATATCTGCGACAAAGTCAAAGAAGAATGAAGAGAGAGTAGACAGCCCTGACGAACATCACTTGAAGTGAAGGTCTACTCCTGAAAATTCAGACGAAGATAATGTTATGTCTAGAAGCATGTCTATAACAAAATTGAACAAGAATGGGGAGAATGTACATCCCTGACGGACACCACTTGAAGTAAAGAATTTCGAAGACAGTTCGCCATAAGCTCTAACTCGACCTGTAGTGTTCGAGTAGAGAGTTTGTATAAGGTTAATGTACTTCTCTGGTGAACCTTTTAATAACAGGCAGTGCTACAGAACCTCACGATCCACAGAGTCAAATGCCGCCTTAAGGTTCAGGAAGGCCAGTTGAACTGATCGGTGAAGTGTTCTGCCCATCGATCCAGTCTCCTGGATTAAGAATAGATAATAAGACTAAGTCTCACTCACATTTGGGTTCCTAATACCAGTTTCCTTGATGAGTCTGAATAGTTGCCTTCTGTTGCCTATCGCCGTTGTCTTTTCCATCTGCCTTGCTTCTGCTACCCACCACTGTTCTCAATCATTCAGTAGGCTTTTTATCAGCATGCGCTTGAGCTGACTCAGCTCCTCATTTCACTCAGAGCCGGCAGGGATGACCTTTCAAGCATCCATCAGTTCAGTAGATGCTACTGAGATCCACGGCTTCTCCCTAAACTTATGGTTCACCCTACTAGATGATATCACTGCTGTTTCCACAGCCTTCTTGATATCATTCCAGGCTGCCTCAGGGTGAGCATCACTTACTACATTGCTGCTTGACTGTTTTTCTAGTTGTTCCTGAAATATATTCTTAGCTTTATTATCATTAAGAAGAAGAGCCCTAAGAGGTTTCCTTGCGATATTTTTCTTGCGTCCAGTAAGGCGCAAACAAATACGCGCACGCACTAGAGCATGATCTGAGTCTAAACAGGTGCTCTAGAATAAGTAACAGTTCTCTATCGAACCCCTCCATCGGTGGCTGATGGCGATGTGATCTAGTTGGGTCCAACGTTGAGACGACTTTGGGAGTCGCCAGGTCAAAAGTTGTGTCGCTTATGCCTAAAGTTAGTGTCTGCTAGAAATAGGTGGTTATCTGAGCATAGTTATAACAGATGGTCGCCATTGTCTGCTCTATTAACTACGACACCATAAGATCCACTGTGGTGTCTCTCCTTTTCGCTGAGTCTACCTACTTGAGCATTAAAGTCACTAGCCATTATTACTATATCAGAGCGCTTAACATTTTGGAGAAGTTTTGAGCGGTTTCTATGAAAATTATCTTTATGTCCTCTAAACTGCAGTCAGTGGGAGCATAGGCAGATACGACGACGAGGCAACGGCGAGTGTCCCTATCCTTCCGAGTCCGTACCGTCCCGTTTAGTCGGACAGCGCATAAGCGACTGTCTATCGGGATCCAGTCTCAGAGAGCTAGTTCTGCCCAGTGATTTAATACTATGCCTACGCCGGCGAGGCCACGAGAGGCAGCATTAGGGATACCTGAAAACACGAAGTGTAAAACGTGTTGTTTCTCTGTCTGCACTAGGTGGAATCAAATTTATGTTTATACTCGGATCTTATATGCGCGTTTCCGAGACCCAACATACATCGATCGCCCGGGATTCAAGAGTTCCAGGTAATAAAGCTTGTTACCGTATTTGACATGGGGTCCGAACATTAAGAGCTCCAACATGTAATTTAGTACGGGGTTTCGGGAGACAAGGAATAACGTTTCTTGAACTCGCATTGTTTGCATTAGCGGTACAGGCTGCTAAAGTAATGTGAGTAGAGTTAGTTGTGGAGATAAGAGAGTTATTAAGAGGTGTATAAAGGATTTCATTGTGTGCTTTTATGGGAATGAGGAAGGATGTCACTTCCCGGCTTCCCACAACGTGAAGAGTTTTTCTTGAGGAATCTGAAAAAGAAAGTAGATTAGTGTTGGTCTTAACGATCTGGGAGCATGACCGCAGAGCCCAAGGGACAACTGCTTGAGGCCGGTCACGCACGGCCTTTATAATAAAGGATTTTTTAGTATTAGCTCCGCTCTTGAAAGCCCTTAGTGGGCACCCTTACCACCGGAGACGGAAATCCATGAGGTACGGTGAGGTGTGACATTGTTAGGGTTGACCTTTTCTAACCCCTTCCTTCCTTATGGGAAGGCAGCATCGCTGCAGATGCTGGTTGTTCGAGGGAAACACCTTACTGCTCTCACACCCTTCTACAGTCAGCAGTACGACATCGCCCTCAGACCTTGAGTAGCTGCTTTTAGTCTCATCGTTCTCCAATCGACCTGCCTGGTATGGTAGAACCTACAGGATTATATGTTCCAGCCAATATAGTTCGGTTGGGTCATCACGATAGGCAAGCCCGACCACCACGTCAAGGTAGCAGCTACGGTCGGGACAGTAAGGACTCGAAAAGATAAGGACACTCACTGTTTCCTCGACGTCGTATCTGCATGCGCTCACATTGACTTCAGTTCAGACGTGGCGAAATGTGAGTTTTACAGAAAACTTCCGGACCTCAAAAAGGTTAGGCACCCTGATTTCGTAATAATGGCTGGTGACTTCAATGCTCAAGTAGTAGACTAAGTGAAAAGGTAAGACATCACTGTGGGTCTTATGGTGTCGCAACTGATCGCAAATTAAATGGTAACCGTTTGCTGCAACTATGCTCAAATAACCTCCAATTTCTAGCAGATACCAACTTTAAGCATTATGGAAAATATCTTTGAACATGGCGACCCCCAAATTCGTCTTAACGCTGGACCCAACTAGATCACACCGCCATCGATGACCGCTATAGTGGCTTGATAGAGGACTGTCGCTCGTTCTGGGGCACATATTTTATATTGAGACCATACATTAGTGCGAGCGCGTATTTGTTTGCGTCTTACCGGACATAGGAAAGCCACCGCAAGGAAACCTCTTAGGGTTCTGCTAAATGATAGCAGAGCTTATAATATTTTACAGGAACAACTAGAAAAACAGTTACGCGGCCATGTAAGTGATTCACATTTGGAGGCAGCTTGGAATGACATCGAAAAGGCTGTGGAAACAGCAGCGATATCTGCTAGAAGGGTAATCTATGAGGCTAGGAAGGAGCCGTGGACCGCAGTGGCATTCACCAAACAGATAGACGCTTGTAAACTCATCCCACCTGACTGTGAACATGACGAAGATCGAAGTCAGCTTAGGCGCAGGCTGACAAAAGGCCTACTCAACGGTCGCGAACAGTGGTGGGTAGCAAAATCAAGAGCGATGGAAAAGGCAGCGGCGACTGGTAACAGTAGACAGTTGTTCAGACTTATCAAAGAAACCGGTATCAGAAAGCCATCTGTTAGCGAAAATATCTCATAAAAGGATGGTCTTATTATTCATTCCCAACCCATTAGATTGAATGGATTGGCAGAGCACTTCAGGGATCAGTTCAACTGGCCTTCAACCTCACTTCGGTTGCCGCCGATCCCCAGTCATCCTGAATATAAGTCGTCCGAGTCTGTTAAAAGTTGAAAAAGCTATATGAAATCTGAAGTGATAGAGAGCAGCAGGTCCTGACAGGCTTAGTGTTTAGATTATTATGGATGGTGGTCCAGTTTTAGCAGTTAGATTGACTGATATCTTAAGTAAAATACGGGAACTGAGCGTAAAAACTGACGCAAGTCCTCTTGTGACAATCACAAGAAGAAGCCTAACTAGTATGTTTTCTCAAATATTGGCCTCAGTAATATTCCGACGCCTAACGAAAGCTCGTGAAGAGTAGACTAGCGAATACCAGGCTGGTTTTCTACCTGGACGTGGATGTATAGACCAGATATTCACTCTACGTTAGGTCCTAGAAGAGAGACACATTCAGGCTCCCCACAACAGTAGTAGGCGTCCGGCAGTAGTTGTCTTACTGGACCTTAAAGTGGCATTCGATTTTTGTCGGTCATGAAGTTCTATGGCACTGTCTGTCATTAGATGTACCAAAAGAGTACATTGACCTTATATAAGCCATCTACTCGAACACCACTGACCGAGTGAGAGCCTGTGACGAACTGTCGTCGGAACCAATTACGCCGATCGGTGTCCGTTTGGGCTATCCACTCTCTTTTAGAGTTAACATTGTTATCGTCTGACTTTTGTGGTGTGGATCTTCTTCCAGGAGACACTGTTGTTTACTTGGAGTTAATAAGATTTAAAGCTTCAATAAATGACGTTAAAAGTGAAAATTTCATTTCTAAACTGTCTACATTTTAAATGGCAAAAAAATCGTTTTTGTCAAATATGATATACTTACAGTTGAGGTCAACACGACATTTTAGTAATAAGATGTTGGATGTTTAGGGCATAGGTTTAGGATTCTGACCATTTTCTAATATCGATAAGTCCCTTAGCTTGAGTGTCGATTATAGCCTTTCTGTCCAGTCCCGAACAATTTTTACCGCGAAATAAGCAAACCAGCACATGTTTTTTTCATTATTATACAACTTAAAGGTTTAGTTAACAAAACAAAGAAAGTTCTTTTTCGTCAATAAACTTGTGGATGCCTATATCAATAAACAAATCGTTGTATAAAATATTTAAAGGGTTTCATCAAGCTAATAGGTCAACACAAATAAACCTTCATTACTCAAATACAAATAGTTTAATGTACAGTAACTTATCACGTTCGATAACTCAGGCTTCTGATATTTAAGAAAGGGAGCTTGAGGATGTAAGTTGTTTTTAATTGACGTCAATAAAAAACGGTCTTGGTTTTTTGAACCTATGAGGATTAGATTCGATGTAGAAAATCTGTTTTAAATTTAATGACAATCAATTAAAGAATAAACCTGTGGAAACGTTTGATTAATATAACTCTATATAGCCGTCCTCATAACTGTGTTCATTCAATCTTAAATCAAGTATATACTCCCTTCCATCGACCATAAGTGTGTTTATAGATTTTAAAACATGATTGTTTCCATGCTGTCTTAAGTGATAACCTGTTGTTTAGTTATTTAAAAGATTCGAAAATGGAATTAAATATCTTAAGCGGTTTATAAATTTCGCTTTTTCATTGAAGACTAAGTATTGTAAATTTCAAAGTACTAATCTTAACAATTTGCGCCACGATAAATGCAGAGTGGTTGTGCATTATTTTCCTTCGAATCCATTAATTTGCTTTCATACTGTTGACTAAGTATACATGTCTTGTCGTTTCTTTTGTTTCAGAGCTCGTGATGCACTTCGAACGTGTTTGCCCCAACAGCTTGTAGATGGAACATTCAGCAGTTTGCTGGAAAATGATGTAGCTACTAGACGATGGCTTACACAACTAATTCGCCAGCTATCTGTTCGTGCAGTTGGTTCTGTAGCTACATCTAATACCACTGCTTCTAGTGTTAGCTCGGTTGACGTCACTTCACTCAATACTACGAATGCAATTCGAACTGCCCTGCTAACTAGTACAACTACTTCAGCAGTAACTACGGTATCTACTGTAGGTTCTGGACCATCAGTTTCAAGTGTTACAGGTGTACCGGGTAGCACATCAGGTGCTCAAGTGTCCACATCCGGTCCTGTGTCATCCAGTTCAGCGTTTGATCCAGTAGCATCTTCAAGTAGCTGAAACAACGACTGACTAACATCCTCTTTAAACAGCCTTGCGTGTTTCACTTTAGATTTGCTTAGTTTTATAAATGTACATAATTATTTCTGATTTTCCTTCAGTCAAAACCTTTTTATTCCTATTTCCTTGGTTGGTTTTGACTCAGTGTAAAACCCTTGTTCAGAAAATGGTCAATCACCTGCCGAAAACGCTTTCTTGCATTTTAACAAGTTTTTTTATTTCACGTATGAGTATTTTGGAAGTGGTGTTTTACTTCTTGGTTATTCTGATGCGGTTATGGACATCATGTTCAGGTTTATTTTTCAAGTGTAAACCGCGTATAAACTTTGAAAACAGTCGTGAATATACAATAATTTTACTTTATATCTTTCTATTTTTTGGTACAGTAAAATGTCGGTATTTTGTTTGTGCATGTTATTGTAGAAAAGTTGGCTATCGAGTTAGGTCTCCACATTATTTTAGATACTCGATTAGATTTTCGTGTCAGTTTTTCTGGTTTCGTTAGCTCCGTTAGCTCAAGGTTTGATTGATATTGAATGGATTCCATGAGATGCACTTCTTTCTCATCTAGTTCTTCTATATTAAAACACTGGAATATATATTTCTGGCTGTGATATCTTCCTGCGCATCTGAAATAGATATCAATAGTTTGTTGCAATAAGGTATTTTCATAGCGATTATTAGTCAAATCATCATGTCAAACTTTCTACAGTACGTTGGAAGCGTGATGCTTTAGGAACTAGTGTTGATTCTAACATACAAGATCTACGATCAAGTTATTTTTGACAAAATATGGTAAGACAACGAAAGACACTTTAAACATTATGACCTCGGGTCGTCGATGAGCAGAGACGTAGTCCTCAGTTTCTTGAAGACTAATAGTAAAAATTTCAACAGAAAATGACATTTATTTGTATGTTCGAGGTTTGAAAACTTTCAATTATTCCTCCTTCTAAAAATGGTGTATTTGGGACCTAATTTGTGCTAGAAATAATCGATGTGCAGTTCTATACCAGTCCTACAAATATTTGTGGTCTCACATTCTCTAGTGATTGTGCAAACCTACTAGTTGAAATTAAAGCAAGCTCTAAGTATTATAAATGTGAAAATATAAGATACTTCCACCAAATTTCTGCCAAGTCGAATACCTTTCGTACTTTACGAAGGAAAATCGTATTCTCATATTGTAACATCGTTCAGGCAATTTGAGCTCTAGTCTTAAGTCACTACACAAAATTCCGCGTGTAACGCTTTCGAAAAAACCTTGAACTTGCCTGTATATATTCCCAACTCTGACATCTGGCAATATTTCATCAAAATCATACAAAGCACAGTTTATTTTTTGGGCCGTATGTTTGTTGCCATTTTCTTGTAGTACAAAAGACATACCAGGTATGTTGGTGAAAGTGTCACCTTTCGAAACACACCGTCCAAATATCTCGTAAATAATTGGACAGTCGATGTTTTTTGACAAATAATGACATGTCCCCCGCAGTCTTCTTATCTGTGTAGTTATTATTCTTAAACTATTATCAATAAGTTTGTGATGAGATGCATCCGCAGCTTGGAACATAGGTACTTCATATTGTGAAGAAAACTGTATTGGTGTCTGATACTTGGACTGACGGTGGACATCGGAGAATGATTGGTTATTACTCCTTTTATTTCGTAATGTGGTTGTATATTCATCATTTGTGGAATTTAGAGTTTTCCCGCCGCAACTCCATTTAGATTTTTCAGATTGATGTGAAATATGGGAATTAATATTCATTACACCGGATTTGTTTATTTCCTGAAGTCAGAAGGTCAGCTAAATTTACGGCTCTAAACCTAAAATTTCTACAAAGAATTTATTTTGATGAGTGGTTGATTTGTGATGTTTTTTGGGGCGAGTACTTATATCCTTTCCAACGACCGGTTATCTGCAGAATGAAATCTGGTTTGGTTTACAGATTTATCGCTTTTTAAAGGATTAGTGTTAGTGCCTTGACGTCTACTCGACAAATAAGTTTCGATGATGTCTGGCCGTCGCGGAAACGACGTTAAGCTTTCAAATTGCGTCCCTTTCAATATTTTTTTATGAGGTAACTTAAACAGAAGGATTTCTTTGTAATTTCATTGTTTCAATCTTCTTGTGCCCTCAGTGTGGTTCTAGGTATTTGATAATGTTAAATAGATTGTAGTCTAGTCAATAGACTGCATTAATGTCCGTCAGTTGGTACTTCTATGTGAATTTGTTTGTGTTTGTCTCAGGGTAGTATGGTTTCTGCTTTCTAGTCTGGACGTCAGTTAGTCGCAAAATAGACAATAATAAGCGGAGAATTCTAATACTAAGAATAAGGGAAATTTTCAAGAATATACAAAATATTATTGTCAGTGAAAATTGCGCGAGAGGACTAAAGTGCTAGCAAAGAAGAGGGAACAGAGACAATAAACTAGAGTGAATAAGTTGAGGATCTGATGAAGTGACTAAGATAACAACTAGCTCCAAGAAGGAGATCAAAATCCATAGAAGAGAGCATTTTTATCAAGTTAACGCTTGAGGCTATCCACTGAAGAGGCTGTGTATACTTAAGCCGGGGAAACATCCCAAGAAACGAAAAATCCTAATGAGGAAAAGTGTGATCAAACCTATTTGTCCGCTCTTTCAATTACAATTTTTCGAACTGCGATGTTATTTTTTGGCAAGATGGTGATGTTGTGATGATTTGGCTTACTAATACCTTGTAGGTCGTAAACAAACGAACTATTATTTTCCCGATGTTAAACAGAAATCATTCCATGCGTTGGAACTACTGCACAGTAAACTTGTCCGTTATTTAGCAGACAGACGAAAGGTTTCTTGAATTAGTCAAGACATCCGTATCTGAGCTTACATTCGGTCACACACTAGGCCACAAGCAATAAAGACACTCCGCAGATAAGCGAGGCGGTTTATACGCTCAACTATTTCTCTACTTATCACTATTTCAGGTGCCGACGCAAGCCAGTCCTTTAGCAACACTTTGCATTTCGACGGTGAGAATAACATCTCGAACATGCTTGCATTGTTACTTAGGTTAGTCAGGAGATTCTGCATTTTGTCTGCGTCTTAACTTAACAGAGCTATGTCCAATATCCAATATCTTTTTCACGAGCTAGTGTAAACCAATTTGATTACTTCGCGCTCGATTCTTGTTCTTTCGGTACGGTTCCAGGTGTTCGGTAATGTCCAATGGATGGAGTTCTAGCCACTCGACTGTCTAATTCTAGTCAGTTGGCAGTTTGTTGTGAGTTTGTATGTCTCGGGATTTGAATGAAACGTTTGTTTCAGGGCAGTAGGGTTTCCGGATACTAGCAGCCGTCACATTACCAAACCGGAGATCAGTTAGTTGCGATGTGGAGAGTAGTAAGGTTAATAAGGATAAATTTCTAATGATAATATGAATACGATTTCAGAACTGAGTAATATATAGATGAATTTAGTTTATCAGTTGGTAGTGAAGATTGTGAGAGAGGACCGAAGTGTAAGCAAGAGAGAGGAAACAGAGATAATAGGCGAGATAAATTAATTGAGTGATCTGAGGAGATGGCAATCGTAACAACTAGCAGGTCTCATGATATGCGTCAGGCACAGCTTGTCCGCCGATCTTCAAATTCATCTGACAGCACATATTTCTGGTCTTTTGCAATTTTATCCTCACTATTCTTTCGTTTTTCTGGTAGTAATGGATGGCTTTTACCATTGGCTAGTGAGTTATTTCAGAGAATTGGTTCTAGGATTTTTACATAAGCTGGTTTATCCAGCATAGTATGAAAGAAGTTGTTGAGGTAGTAAGGCGCCTTAACCCTAAGTAACGCGTCTACGGAATCGTTGCGCTCAACGACTTTATTTCATTCATATAAAATATCACAGCATCACGTCGAAATCGGACACTTGGATACAACACCATTGATGGCCAGTGTAAGAAACAAGTGCTGGATCCACGAATGAGAATCGGAAGTAAGCGCGGCAATCAATAACTCAACGGAATACACAGGGAAAATCGCTCTCAAGTGACAGAGATCGATTTAATTCGGTGAAACAAGGTCACTCCTTTTTTGTGGCTGGCGGTTTATTTGTTTGTCCATTTGTCGTAAAGCGGCGAAAAGGAACTTCAAAGAGTATTAGGTGTCTAAAAATAATAGCCTATGGTTGCGAGAGATACCAGATTGACTATGCTCACTACTAAATGTTCCATGATATCCCGTCATGATTCATGGCAAAACAAAATGAATCCATATTCCAAGGTTTTATGGAAGGAGACAGTAGGCATTATATCGGGAACAGCAAATAGATAAAGATGGCAGCAACGCGAAGAGAACGTTGCGCGCAAGAAGTAGTAGAAGTGTTTTTGGTACAGTTAAACAAAACGAGTACAATAATGTTTACATTTCGCAAATCGCATTTTCTTAGTAGAAGCGTTCCACTACAAGCCCTCCATACTAAAATGTTCCGCAGCGCAAGTCTACTGATGTAATCATACTTGCTGTATATAGATCGACAGACAGAAGAGTAGATAGTGTTTAGTGAGAGATGGGCGAAAGTAGGAATAAGAATTATATGAATAGAAGTCAGATACTGTTTCTCTTCTCAGAACCCTATTCTTAGTGGAACATCCATGGTGCCTACACGCAAAATGCACCTGTAAGCGAACATCAAGTACACAGCTCATGTCAAGCGCTTCCTGTTTGCGATACTCAACAGATTCACTGCTGAATTATACACACCATCGATGAACACTACTGTGTACATTCCTTATTTGTACTCACTTGCTGAAAATGTGGCTGTATCCAAATATTCCAGTCAGTGACATTCTATATATATGTCCTATCGAAGACAGACTCATCAAATCTAACTGCTCAACCTTTCACAGTAAATATGGTAGCATTTGTAAACTGACATGCCTGTTGTTATTTGACATTAAATATATTATTATCGTAGTTATTACTAATAAAGTATGTAAAGGATTTACACAGAGTTATTATGATGAAATACAGATTAGTGGCTTAACCCCATTTTAAGCTAGTCTCAATGAACGCCTATAGTAAAGTATCATAGCAGTGATTACGCTAGATTAATGTTTAGACCAAAGTACACAACTTAACGGATGAAACATTAGAAATGTCTTTGAGCGAAGCTGACAGGAATGAGATGAAAGTGACTAAGGATACAGACAAAATAATGTTGCTTAAATATAACAAAGGATTTTATGCAGATAGCTCTCAGTGTAATCACAATACAAAAAAGCAGACTATTTTGTCACGTGAGTTGGACTGGACATGTAGGGCGCGTATTTTGTAGGTTGTGAATTTTTTAACATGATACATATTTATCTTTTTC